CAGGATCATTTTTGACAAAGTTGATTTTACTCAACAAACCAGCAAAAACTAACAACTTAGGAAAAAATTGGTTTGAGGTTTAGAAAGAAGTAAACATATGCAAATCGTTAAGCGAAAATAATTTAAAAGAATTAAAAAGTTTGTCTCATTTAATTTACTTTTTATAAGATTTTATTTAATTAACCAAAGTGTTAATGAAATAATTATTTGGGAAAAACAAGTTCAACATTTAAATTTCTACAAGTCGGCTCCTGATGAAGTTGGTTGCTAAAAGTGCCAATAGCTTATCTGGCCAAAGATTTCATTGCCACCAACCAAAGAATTCCTTCATTTTGACCTGGCCAACGTGTCTGGCAAAATTTGAGAATTCCTTAATTTTGAGCTGATTGAGATCTCTGGTCCAAGGGATTCCTTCATTTCAATCTAAATGATTTAATTTATCATTTAAAGAGTAACAAGACCTGCCCAAAGCAAATTGCTTATACAATTAAAAAAAAAATTGTTTAGCTGTAAAAAGATTTAATCACAGTTCATTTATAAATGGTTCATTTATAAATGGAGACATTTCCAAATTATGTCTGTAACAATTATTTTAAAAAAGTTCCAAGTCTGAAATCAAATTTTCTGGCCAACTTGTTTCTATTGCCCACCTTACCAAACTAAAAAAAAAAAATAATTTCAAGTATGAGTGAATATAAATACTAATGTCCATCTATTTTATTTTCAAATTATTGCTATTCAGAGTTAGAGAGTCCCACATATTTAACCGATTCTACAATACTCCCCCACCTCTTATTTAAGTTAAATCATTTAACATAAAAAGGAGATTTTTATGTCTGGCTGAACAATTTAATGAAACCACTCAGCCTTGATAAACAACCCTTATAGGATTTTCTTCTACAATTAATTTCACTGTTTCATTTAAATGCTCAGAAAAATACATATACATTTATATCTATTTATGACAATTCAATGATACCTTTCAAAATACATAAATAATAAGAATTTAATGTATTTAAAAGGCCAACTGAATTTTTGTCAAAAAAGTGCTCAGTAGATAAGTAGTGACAACAGTCTACAAATAATAATATTCAAACAGCTTATCTCATGGGCCAACTTCAGAGTCTTGCATGACAATGTTCATCAAGGTTAGAGAGTTTGATAAATTTTTATTGGACCCTCTGATAATGATGAGTGTTGTTACATAAAATTCTGGAACAGGCCCATGAGATATGTCTATATTATAATATATATATATATATATATATATATATATATATATATGAAGATTCAAGAAACAGCAGATATTTTTATATATAGTGCTCAATATGAAAAATATCAAAATAATATTAAAAATAGAGCATTAATAATATTACATGAAAAGATTACTTAATTTTTAAATATCAATTTTATCATGACTTTGAAGTTTCTTGGTAAAATTTCCAGTCTTTAGGGAAGAAATTAAAAAAAAAAAAAAAAAAAAAAATGGACAGGCTGTTTAAAACCAAGACCCCTGAAGACTGGAAATTTCACCAAGAAACTTTGAAGACAGAATGAAATTGATATTTAAAAGTTAAGTAATCTTTTCACATTAATATATATATATATATATATATATAACTCACAGGTGTTTGTCTTCTCAGCAAAAACAACCCATTATGATTTTAACATTCATTTTTTTTTTTTTTTTTTTTTTAGAATGGATAAGAAATCATTTTTGCTATAAATTTCAACTATGTAATATTCACACATACATGAAATATGAAAACCAAACACAGCTAACAAAGTAGTCAGCAGTGAGTTAGGAACCCACACAATTTGGTTAATCCTGATTATGGACGGATGGGAGTGTGGGTGGGGTATTACCATCTCAGCCATAACTTGACTTTGAGCTCTTTTTGTTGCCCATTGCATATTTTCTCCAGTTTTAGAGTTTTCTTTTATTAAAGGTCAATTAACAAACTTTGATGAACCAGAAACCTTGTGACTTCCTGCCTGATATTATAACCACTGGGATCTACAGAAGCTAATTTTGTCTTGAGTGATTTGAAATGAAGTAAAAGGAATAGGGGGAAAAAGAGGGAGAGAAAAAGAGAGAAAGGAAAGAAAGAAAGAAAAAAAAAAAAGAAGGAGAGAAATGACTGGGGTGGGAGGGGGTATTGATTAGCTATCAATCACACTAAAATTCTTTGGTCAACTACCGATCACCCTAAAAATGCAACTCATCAACAACAAACATTTTTTGCTGCACCTAAGTTACAAAAACTGAACTGAATTGTCCACTGCCACACGTGAAGACAAAGATAGAAAATATAAAATGTGTAGATGCCTATAAAAGGACAATATGAATAATGAAAAAGGAAAACTTATCTTAGCTGACATGTTTCATCCTCTGAGGAACTTTAAAAAAGGTAAATGAAACGATTTTATTTTGCAACAAGTATTTATATACAAGAGCAAAAAAATGTTTTAAAATTTTTGAAAAAAAATTTTAAAAAAATCTTATATATATATATATATATATATATATATATATATATATATATATATATATATTTGTTACAAACTAAAATCCTTGCATTTGACTTGATAAAGTCTATAAGAAGATAAAACATGTTCAATAAGTTTTCCTTTTGTGTATATATATATATATATATATATATATATATATATATATATTAGAGGAAAATTAACTTTTAAACTGAAAATTTAACTTGGGGACAAAACACCTCCCTGCACAAAAAAGAAAAAAATCCTAAATTTCTATTTAGAAAATCTCTGAATTTATTTACAAGTTTCTATTTCAGTGAATGCCCTTAATTCTTTCCAGGTGATACACATTTTGTTAATGTCATCTACCTGCAATAAATTTATGGAAATAAGTTTATTACATTCTCCTCAAAAAGAATTAAAAATGAACAAAATCAAACTAACTCATCAAAATGGCTAACAAATTCATTATCTAATAAAACAATCCCCTTGCAAAGGTAGGAACGAGGCAATTCATCTTGCAAATGATCCAATGTTGTCTGTAAACTATAGACTAACTTCAAATTAATGGTTTTTTTAAATTTCCTTTGCCTGGATTCAAACATTGTATGGAAAGGCATCCACACTATCCATCCAATTAAACAAATATATATATTTTTTTAACTGAAAAAGTCAAACACACACAAGAGAGGAAGGTTAGCATGTTTTTTTTTTGTTTGTTTTTTTAAAACAGCCCAATGATGGTCACGACTGATTGTATTAGCAAAAAGAACAAAATTTTGATAGTGACTAATTCATATCTGCATTATTAATTTTTTTTTTTTGAAGGCACACAACAAACTAACATATATATATATATATATATATATATATATATATATATATATATATATATATATATTCAAACACGACAAAAATTCGTGGGACGCAAAGGTTTCATTAATGACAGCAGTTTGTTTCTCACAGACAATTTTTTTTTTTTTTTTTGGTCCTAGAATTCTGTGGATTTCTTAAAACGTTTATAGAAGCAAAGGGACTGTTTACTTGCAGACAGTCACAACTTAATGCTAAACACCATTTCTTCAGAATCTTTTCTAATTTTTAATTGTAGGAAAAAGTCATGGAAGTCATCAGGTATGATTTGCTAGGGTGGGGGAAAAATTATATGAAAAAAAAAAAGATATCTTAATATCATGAGTAGAAAAAGGAGTCAGAAAAATAAGTAACATTTGCATTTTAAATTGAAAATATTTTTAATATTTTAATTTATTTTAATAAAATAAATGTTGAGATTTGTGTTTATAATAATGAAATAAATAATATTTTAATAAACAAGTCTATTAAAATATTAATTTAATGATTGTAAATTAAATAATTTCAACATTTAGCTCATTAAAATATCATTTATTTTATCAAATTAAATATTTCTACCTCCATTCCACAATAAGTGATCAGATTTACATAATCTGCTTGACTGATGGCAGGTGATGGCAAATCTTGGAGCTGATGACATAAATGAACGGTTTGCACAAAATAGTCTATTAAAATACAAGTTTTCCGTTCAATATTTCACAATGAAATAAATGTCTGAAAATTATCAGATGCTGTTACATTAAACTTAATTCTAATCCCAAGCCTAAGCAACAGAACTGCTCACTTATTGTGGAACACAAGTAATACTCCTTTTTTTTCTGTGATGTTTTTTTTTTTTTTTACCCCAAAAGCCAAAGTTTAACTTTTTATCTCATTATCATCCATGATTCCTTTCTTAACTGAAGAAAAAAAAATAAAAAAAGATTCACTTAGAGAGGGTTCTTCTTGCAGGATACCTGACACAAGACGGAAGACATTCAATGACACAATGAAAAGATAAATGAAACGGATAAGAGTTGAAAAATTAGACCTTTCTCTTTTTTAGGTTATCAACTAAATTTATAAAATCCTTAAGAGACATAAAGAAACATGTGCATTATTTAAAAGTCTTAAATTTTACACCACTATTAAAATTATGAGGGGGAGGGAGGGAGGGAGGAAATGATACATTAGTAACATTAGTTTTATTTTTCTGAATGTCTTTTCCATAATAAAACAGTAATTGTTTATACTGGAATGAAGTAATAATGGCTATTACTAACAAAATTTGCTAGTAAAATTTCTTGTAGGTTTAAGCATTTACAGTGAAAGTTTTCTCTTTAAAAATTCATTATTTGAGAGCAAAGACAATGAAAAGTCTAGATTTGGAAAGAAAAAAAAAAAAAAAAAACAAAAAAAAAATACTAACTTGTTTCAAACTAAATACAATGAAAAGAATAATTTTTTTTTTTTTTTTTTACATTTTAAGGTTTTAAAAAATTTAGAGTCAATTATTTAGAGTAATTGCTTTGGTTAGAAAGAAATCGAAATATACAATACTCTCAAACAGAGCTTCCAGGAAGTGTTTTTTTTTTTTTTTTCTATATTTTTTGTTTTTGTTTGAGAATTTCCCCAGAAATTTGTAGAAGTAACAAAACTTAAGGTGGGAAGATACAAATGACATCCAGCAGGTAACGAGAGGGGGGTAAGGCAGCTAAAATAAAGAGAGAAATGGGATTTAAATTGATTAAAAAAATAAAATAAATTTAAAAAGAAAAAGTGGAGGGGGGGATCAGAATACGAAAGTTTTTGTGCTTAATTATCTATTACAAATAAAACTAATTTTTTTAAAAACTTAAACCATTGTTGCTATAATTTTTTTTTGTACTTTGTATTTATTTTGTGCTTCTTACCCCCACCTCCCACCCTTCTCCCCTTACTCCCCAGTTCTTATTGTCTAAAAATCATGCTATTTCAAACTATTCAACTTCCTGCTTAAAAATCAGCCATAATCGTTCAAGGATAAAGATAATTTTAGAACTCTTTTGAAAAGAAGAACAAAAAATAAAATAAAATGAATGAAAAAATTCTGAAAGAACATTTGTTTAAAAATAATTAAAAATTAAATCCTCAAAAGAAGAAAGAGATACAAAACTTGATAAATATATTAGAAGGGGTAAATTTCTATATGTAAAAGTAGGCTTTCATTTTAAATTCCTTTTTAAATCTTTTTTTTTTCTCCACCTGCCTAATACTTTCTACCATCTTTCCTTTGCTCTCATTTTTTTTTTTTTTTGTTTTGCAGTATCGGTCATTATTTTGGTCAGCTGTTGAGGCAGTGATATTGGACACTGGTCAGCTGTAGTGTTGCTGTTTTTGAGGTTTTTTTTCTCTTTCTTTTCTTCCTTTAATTGATACTTCTAGTCTTCAATTTTCATTAAGTTTTCACTTTCTTAAAAAGAAGAAAAAGAAAGAAAAGGAAGTGAAGAAGAGAAAGCTTACCCCACCAACTCCCCCCTCTCTCTGTCTCTCAATTCTTTCCTACCATCCTTAGTTTCTGGATTTAAAAAAAAAAAAAAAATTCTTGGCTGAACACAGTCAAAAAAAAAAAAAAAAAAAAGAAAAAGAAAAAAGAAAAACAAAGAAAAAATGAAGAAAAGAACAAAGAAAAAAAAAAAAAAGAACAAAAGAAAAAAAAAAAAAAAAAAAAAAAAAAAAAAAGAAAAAAAAGAAGAAAAAAAAAAGAAGAAAAAAAGAAGAAGAAGAAAAAAAAAAAAAAAAAATCCAAAATACTACATTCACTTTTTTTTGTTTACACCATCATTTAACAGCTTTCACATAACTAGGCAATTGTTGTCTCTGGTTTCTCTTTTCATATCAATCGTATTTTGCGTTTTTAACAAGTTGGTTGGTTGTCATAGTTACCACATCTGTTGTTGCGGCAACTATAGCCAATAGTTTGCTGCAAAATTTTGCATGCATCTCCTGTGCAGTGGCCAAGGCAGCAACAAAATTAGTCTTGCAGCAGTCAAATGCCATGTCTCTTGTGTATATATATATATATATATATTTATCTATGTCTGTCTGTCTGTGCACATGTTCTTGAGTGTCAGTGGATACATGTGTGTGTGCATGTGTATGTGTGCTATGTTGCAGGCACTGTGGCCATCTGTGCAGTTCTGAGCATACTATAAACATTATCTAAATTTGCTAAGTTCTCAAAATAGGGTATGAGGTCGTATAACTCCCTGTCATCTTCATCATCAAACCACGAAGTAACAGGAACCTAGAAAAAAAATAAAAAAAATAAAAATGAATGTCCTTCAAGATTAACTCTTTAAAGGAATTTCTCTTATATTATATAATCATGACAGATTTTTTTTATGGTTTATCAACCTGTTGTAGGTTATTTGAAATTAAAGCACATTTGGGATTGTAAGAATAATTTTGGTGGGGGGGGGAGAGAGAGAGAGAACAACAATGATTTTTTTCAGATACAAGTTTTATTATTTAACCCATAGCTGGTGGAGGAGATGGTTTCATACCTTTACCAAGGGTATTGCATGTAACTGAATGCCAGTCAACATTGCATTAACATTTTTTTAAAATAACAAATGAATTTTCCAGATACAAATCTTACTATTTAACCCATAACTGGGAGACATGGATTCATACTTTTCTCAAAGGTATTTGCACATAAGTGAATTTAACTAATTCAACTGAAATTTGAACTTGGCTCTTCAATTTCTAAATCCGAGCCACTATTCATTACATCACCTGCACATCCATCCTTAATAAGGAAAAGTAGGGGGGGATTACCAGTGCCTGTGCAATTAAGGCACGAAACAATAGACAAAGACCTGATTTAAAGATACAAGCTCAAATTTCAATCTGCACGCCATTTTGATCCGAGGTATACAAAGACGTTAAATCTTAAAATGTTCGGCTGGTATCAAAATCATGACAATATATGAACTTTCTGTGTTAAATTCAAATGATAAATAAAAATCAACCCAAGACACTAGCAAAAAGTGAAGTTAGTTCTTGTGCCACAAAATCCACTCCAGATCTCAATTGAAACTCGTATATACAATCCATCACCAAAGATGCTGTAAAAATGATCGACTCAGTCTATCGCTCCAACAAGTACCTGACTCCTGCTAGCATGCTTCATCTTTTACAAGAGTCAGATTTTATCAAAAATGGTGTATTGCTTGCCATATTTGGTCTGGAGCTGCACAATCTTCACATTCCAGCCTTGACAGAATTCAAAAATTTTACAGTCTTTGCAAGAATCAAATAAAACTAGTGTTTCAACCATTTCTTCCTTGTGGACCATTTTTGGCGTCAAATTATTTTCAGGCCCACTTATATCAGTCAGTTATATGTCATGCGTAATACATGCTTAGGCAATCATGTATCTTTTGATACATGACTGATGAGGCAGATTTTTTCCCACAGTAGGTTGCCATTTCTTTCTGCGGTAGACCAGTTGCCATCCAAGGCTATAGAACCCAGTCTGTCCTGCTATTTATCCACAGCTTTTGAGAAGAGGATTCATACCTTTCCCAAGGGTATTAGTACTTAAGTGAATGCAATGGATTCGACTGGAATTCAAACATGGCTCTCCAATTCCTCAATCTGAGCCACTATTCATGGAAATAGATTTTATTTACCAAAACAAAATGTAGTAGGTAAAAAAAAAAAAAAAAAAAAAAAAAATCCTGTCAAATGACTATACTGCTCTTGGTGTCTATCAGCCTCTCTCAAAGTTAAACTTCCAAGCTTTGGTTCAACTTCAGGCATAAAGACTTCTCTTTTCAATCCGTACGCCCAGGCCCATCTTAACTTTCACATCTGTTAACAGAATTTTATGAAGTGTAAAGGAAATAAAGATATAATGATGAGGTTACCCACCATTAAATCAGTAGAACATCCATGTCATAATTACCTGTATTTTTACCTGGGAAAACAGCATAAAGTCTTTTTAAATGACAAATTAAAACTCAACTTATAAATTAATCATGTCAATTATGCAATATACAGAGTGTGGCAAAAGTAACACCCTCTTTTCTTTCTCGAGCTGGTGATGTGGAGCAATTGGTTAATTTGCAGTATAAGCACCAAAAGTCCACAGTAATGAAAATGTTCCATTATGGTATGAAATTGCATGATTAATTTGAAAATTCCATTAAAAGTTTGCACTCTATTACCCTTTAGGAGATATGGACAATGTAAGTTTGACTTCTTTCACGTCGCTGTCATTACTGGCTTTGCTTACATATGTTTGCCTCAAGTAGTGATGTGGTGCAGGAGCTTCACTTGTCTTGATCACTGCACAAAGTTTAAAATGAATGCGCAATTTCAAATATAGCAGTAAGAACGAAAAAAAAATAAAAAATAAAAAAAAATAAAATAAAAATTATGTGCCTGAAAAGATAAAAATGTTTGTTTTTTTTTTAAAAAATTGTGTTGTGAAAGTTTCCTTAAAATCTGACAATTAAAATAAAATAGAAATTATGTGCCTGAAGAAGGTAAAAAAAAAAAAAAAAAAAAAAAAAAAGCGGTTTTCCTTTATTAACGATGTTTTTTTTTTTCAAAAAGTGTTCACCCATGACGTTATATTTATTTAGAAAAGCTTTCAATCATTTTTATAAGAAATTTAAACCAATTTAATAAAAAAAAATTCATTATTTAATAACGCTTCACTTCTATAAAGAAACAATACTTTTAATTGGAAAAAAGGAATTTATTACAATTAAATAAAAACTAATCATTTAAAGCTTAATATTTAAAAAAAAAAAAAACAAAGAAAAGGGCACATTTTAAAATAACTTTCACAAAAATTGTGCAGTAAACAAGACAAGAAGATATGAAAACAGTCAAAAGGCTGTTAACTAATTAAGCTTCCATGCATTACTAGTTGAGGCAAACGTATGTAAACAACGTCAGTAATGGCAGCCAGACGATGCAAAAGACATTGAAATTACATTGTCCATATCTCCTAAAGGGTAATAGAGTGCAAACTTTTAATGTCATTTTCAAAATAATCAGGCAATTTCACACCATGATGTAACATTTTCATTACCGTGGGCTTTTGGTTCTTATACTGCAAATTAACAGAGCAATTAAGTGGCCATCAATATCACCAGATTTTCCTTTTATTCCTTGTTTCCATATTAAAATTGGGTATCTGGTTCCTTCCTAAAGTCTTCTCATTCTTTTTCATTCCTAGTAGCCCCTTGCATTTTAGTGGCACTATTGCCTTCCTTGGTGTGAATTGATTAAAAAAAAAAAAAAAACCCTAAATTAAAAAAAGTAATTTCTGATAAATTTTCTGAAATTAATGTACAAATGTGTCAAATTGTTTTGTAGAAGTGTTGCTGATAGGGTCCAGCATTGTATTGACATGAAAGCGGGGCATTTTGAACATGTTAAATAGTTTATTAATCATAACAAATTATGTTTGGGCACTTTGATATTGCGCAATGGTGTCTCACTAGATCAGTTACAACTGAATAGGGAGTTTGATCCACAGGGGGTGCTCAACACTTTTAGCCTTGTGCCACAAATAAGCTAAGCTTAAAAAATTGTTTAGAGCACTTTGACATTGTATAATGATTAGCAAGCTTGTCTCAATAGATCAATCCTGATTGAATAGCAAATTTGATCCTCACTAGGTACCCCATACATTTGGCCTTGCGTTATGCTTAGAAAATTATTTGGGACACATGGACATTGTATAATGGTTAGCAAGCTTGTCTCACGAGATCAATTATGACTGAATAGCAAATATTGATAGTCACTAGGTGCCCCATACTTACAGCCTTGTGCTACATCTAAGCTACGCTTAGAAAATCTCCACATCAAATCATATTGATAATATTTATTAATTTTTTTTTGAAATTATTGTAATTTATTTTTGTTCAATAAAAGTTAATAAATAAAGAAGGGTGTTTCTTTTGCCGCACCCCCTGAATATCAAAGTTCACTGTGCTGTTGAGAAAAATGATTAAATGAAATAGAAATAATATGGATATAAACATGGTAAACATTTCATCAGGAAAGAGGGAAAAAAAAAAAAAAAAAAAAAAAAAAAAAAAAAAAAAAAAAAAAAAAAAAAAAAAAAAAAAGAAAAAAAAAAAAAAAAAAAAAAAAAGAAAAAAAAAAAAAAAAAAAAAAAGAAAAAAAAAAAAAAAAAAAAAAAAAAAAAAAAAAAAAAAAAAAAAAAAAAAAAAAAAAAAAAAAAAAAGAAAAAAAAAAGAAAAAAAAAGAAAGAAAAAAAAAGAAAAAGAATAATTGACAAGAAAAGTCTTGACTTTCAGGAGAAACAATGGCTCAACAAACAATATCTCATCATTTTACACTTGAAATGGCTGCTAGAATGTAACTAAGTTCTATGCTAAAAGGTTCTTCTCTTACACGTCTCACTTTTGGAACTCACTTCCAGCTTTTTGCTTTCCAGTTAAGTTTGATCTTCAAAAATTTAAATGCAAAGCCAATCCTTATCTTCTGAATTCCTGTTCTTTTATTGTTTGTGCTTTTTAATAATGTTTTTCTTATATTCTTTCACATTCAGTAACCCTCTGCATCTTAGTTGCCTTGCTTGGCATGAAATGATTAAAAAAAAAAAAATTTCTACTCGAGGCTCGACTTGAACATCACTGATCCAGTGAAAGTGAGGGTCAGGAATGCCATCTTGATGACCAAATTTTGATTACCAGTCAAACATTGACTCTACACTTCCACATTAGTTATAGTGTCATACAGACATGTTTTTTTTTTAAGCTCTAAAGATTGATTCATCCATTTTTTACGGTTTATCAACCCTTTGCGGGTTATTTAAAGCCAGAAAATATTTTTAGATTGTACAAAAATTTTTTTTTTGAGATGATCTAGTCTTATAGCTAGAGGGAGAAGAGGTGGATTCATGCCTTTCCCATAGGTATTTTTTGTGTAAGGAAATATAATGAACCCAACTGGAATTGGAACTCTGTTCTCTAATTAACAATTCCGAACCATTATCCATTACACCACTCATGCATCCTAGCTTACAGCACCCGGTATCCCTAAACAGTCACCCATCTAGGTACTGACCATGTTCAACGTTGCTTAACTCCAGAGATGGTACGGATATTCTTCATGAATTATCACGAACGGGAGCAAATAAAAACCATCATTTTGCATTTTCAAACTGCAGTGTTTAAAAATAAAATAAAATAACAGACACTCACAGCATTCTGTGGATGGAAGATGTATGATGCTGGAGAGTTGTCCACAATGACCACTTGTTCAAGTGCACGACCCAGTCGGCTTAAATCCTAAAATAAACAACAAACAAATCAGCAAACATTCAAACCAACTTTTTACATAGCAATTTCATTTTGGAAATATAATGCTTGATTATTTTAATCTTTTCATTTTTATTATTATTGTTTTTCTTTCTTTCTGCCACAACACTATTTTAGCCATAGAGAGAAATTTCATTGGTGTAGTCATGTTATTGGTCTAGTATTGCTCGTCTGGTCTACAGACTACATGCCACTTTCATAATATTTTCTTCAGCTAACTCATTGAGTTTCATTGCCTTGTTGATTCCAGTTTCTGTAATTCATTCTTTTCTACTTCATGTAAACTGCAATAAACTTATTCCTGAAAATATGGTGACTTCAATTATACACTATTTACATTGCTTAGACTATCATCCTCATCTTTGTTGCCATATTTATCACAATGTTTCGGCTATTGTACGCTCCGGCCTTCTTCAAGTGGATGGAATGTCAAACTGAACCCTTTATTTCGCTCACTGGGGTAGACTGTTCTAGTTCCACGTGCCATGTCTAATGGATGTCAGTTATCAGTTATCTCCTGTTAATTCCCCTCTCCAAGTTCTCTACCGCCTAGGTATTGAACTCACACTCTTTTGGGTCCTGTCACTGGATCTAACTAACACTATCCACTGTGCCATGTGTCCATGGCGGTGGAGAACTTGCAGAGGGGAATTAACAGGAGATAACTGATAACTGACATCCATTATACATAGCATGTAGAACTAGAACAGTTTAACCCAGCAAGTGAAATAAAGGGTTCAGTTCGACATTACAACCAGATGAAGAAGGCCAGAGCGTACAACAGATGAAATGTGATAAATATGGCAACAAAGATGAGGATGATAGTCTGAGCAATGTAAATAGTGTACATAATACCTCATCTCCGAAATATAGATAGAAACTTCAATTATATATTTAGTATTTTATGTATCCATCTACAGGGAGCAATGGATAAATTATCATCTAAATTATGCAATAATAAAAATAACGCTAACATCTCATTTTAACAGATATATTTTCCAAAATTACACAAAAATATCTTGAAATACTAAACAGTTAATTCATTCAATAAAAATTGCCATTGGCTTCTACTACAACCTCCAGACAAGTTTGGATTCTCCTGCAAATCTTCTGAACAGTCTCCTTTAAGTTGGTGAATGCTGTCATAATCCTTGCCTTCAGTTCAACTTTGGTGTTACAAGGTGTTTTGTTGGTATCTCACTTAACTGCAACTCACACATAATAATCAAGGGGGTTGCAGTCTGGGGTGTTGGGAGGCCAGATGTAAGAGGTGATGTGGTTGCAGAAATTGTTTGACAGTCATGACTAGGTTCTCCTGCTTGTGTGGCATGGTGCAGAGTCCTGTTACCAGACAGAGTATTTCAGCAGCCACACTCTTGATCCAGGGCAGCACTACCACCTCAAGGCAGTTGATGTAGGCCTCCATGTTGAGTCTGAGGCCCTCACCAAGAAATTCAGGAGTTATTTTCTTACCAGAACAATCAGAGTGAGTTTCCCAAAGCTGCTGTACCTTTGTAATCACCATTAGACTCATCCAACTCTTGCACCATTTTCAGATTGACACCTGAAGTGTTCATATTGAAGCTTCTGGCACAAAATGCCAAGTATTACAGCATGCGGTTTCCAAATTTCTGGTGAAGTGAATTGCTTTTTCTCAGACAGTGTCCAACTGACCATACTGTACTGTGCAGTTGACAAAATCAAAAAGAAACAACATACATGTGCAAAATTAAAAATATAAATGGTCACAATTTACCAATCATATGCTGTATGTTGAGGAGACGAAAAAAAATCCTAATACCATAATTCCCCCATGTATAATATGCCTTTTTTTCAAAAAAAATTAAGGGTGCATATTATGCACAAATACAAAAAAATCTTTAAAAAATTACTGTTTCATAGGTCGATTTCAGTTGCAAAATGAATACTCACCACAAACATATGACAATTTGGCACTAACATTCGGCAACTGCGACCCCATAAAGATGGCAAATACAATCAAAGATACCTAACAATACTTACAAATGTAAAACTAAATTAGAATAATATTATTCTATGTTTAAAAGCATTTTTTTTTAATAAGAGTAGGAAATGCTGGCCATAATGAAAATGGAGTGGTACAATTTATAGGGTTTGATTACTAAACAAGGGGTGCGTATTATGCATGAGGAGAAGCCTTTTCCCACACTTTCAGCACAACTTTAGTGGTGCGTATTATGCATGAGGGCATATTATACATGGGGAATTATGGTAATACAAGATTTAAAGTTTGTGTGTGCTGCCCAAAATGAAATATACATAAATGTACATGCGTATGCAGATATATTGGGTAAAAGAGTGACATCAAATAGTTTTCTCATGGTACATACATTTATTACACAATATAATTTTCTCTCCTCCCTGCTTCAAACAGCATACATTATAGGACAGGAGTTTAAATTAGAAGTCCCACATGTTGATGGTACTAGGGAGAAAAATTGATCAATTCCATCAGCATTTTGTTTTTAGAATACTACAGGTATCAGGGATCAATACTGTCAGTCCCACATTTAGTAAAAAGGGGGAGGTGCTGCCAGGGGGGATGCCACCCTTGAGCTGATCAAGATTTAATAATAAGCAAAGCATAAAAATGCAGGATTTTTTTTTTTTTTATGAGAATGCTTACCTCATTCCAAATGTTGCAAAAGATCTTTTTAATATGGGGTCTTGTCAAACGTGTCAAACATGTCAAACCAGGGGCCAAAAATAATGCAGTCCGCTATTAAAGAGGATGCCGCAGGTACCAGATAATGACCCTTGCTTCATCTCAAAGGGAGGGGTCATTATCTGGTGAATTGCAAACTGAACTTAATAATCATTGTAAACCCACAAAATAAATGCAGTTTTACATTTGTAAAATGTGTCTTATATAAACACAAAAAGGATCATTTACAGAAAAACATTAAATGAATCAGTTGTTCACCATAATGAAGCTGACCACAATTTCAATTTAAAAAATACTTTAATTAAAAGAGAAAGCAATTTATAAAAGATGAAATTGATCTGTCAATCATCCACAGTAAATTGGCATCCAGGTTCTTAAAACATTTCACCTTTCTTGGCAGGTCTTCTATTATCACAATGTGCATCTCCTCTTTATGCATAGTTGTATTTGCATCAATATAAACATTACCTTAGTCTGATGAAGTTTAAAAGGACAAAACACATCATACAAATCCCCCCCTCCATTTTGTCATTAATTTTTGTTAATTCCATTTTACAGTTATATGCAAATCTTCTGAAGAAACAACTGTGTACCAAAGGAAAGGAACTTGGCCCAGGTAGTGTTGGGTATCATTGCTAGTTTCAAATAAATGTGACTTACTACCAATTGATTAATTTTTGATTATTTGTAAACTAATTACTATTCACCGTTATTTGTATCTTTTGTTTCAGAAAAATTAATTTTTTACCTATGAACACAAAAACCATATCAAAAGCAATTTTTAAAATTAAAGAAAAAAGAAAAGTTTCTTTTGTAAAACTTTTCTGATATGAAAAAGACTTACTTTTACATAGTTTCCCCGATGAAAGACACAAGATTCCCTGAATAAGCGAGTTCTGAAGACCTCCCATTTGTCTAGAAGATCTGCTACAGGGTCAGCATACTAAAGGAAAAAAAAGAGAAAAGGGTGGGGGTAGAAAGGAAAAAAAAAAAAAAGAGAAAAGGGTGGGGGTAGAAAGGAAAAAAAAAAAAGAGAAAAGGGTGGGGGTAGAAAGGAAAAAAAAAAAAAGAGAAAAGGGTGGGGATAGAAAGGAAAAAAAAAAGAGAAAAGGGTGGGGGTAGAAAGGAAAAAAAAGAAAGAAAAAGAAACAGTGATTAGTTGAATAGGAAAAACAAAATCAATTTCTTTTTTTTTTTCTTTTTTTTTTAACATATTCAACAGCAAAGGACAAATTAACATCCCTTTTTTGAAATTTACACATTGTCTTCATTTTGTCCTCCACACTGGGGAATCTATATGTTGAATTGTGCAAACTTATATTGATTACACCTTCTGAACATCTACTTGGTACTTACACTCCAATCCATGGCAGGACACTTGGTTAGTTTAACATGAGATGCTCATTTTATTTTTTTACCTAATAAACTTGAGACTCAAGAGCCATTCAAGGTAGAGTATCACTAAATGAGTTTGTTGTAAAGAGGTAGAGTGGTAGCTAGCAAGAGGTGTATATTATGAGGATATGTACGATAGACAACAGTTAACCCTAGACTTGAAGAGAGGGTCAACCACTATTTTATCAACCAAAGTTTATCTAATTTTCTTTTTTCGACAGTGGACATATCTGTAAAATTTACTTGAGGAATATAACATGATTGTAGCGATCAGGGAAGCATCCTTGTGGAAGTCTGTATGCATATATATGGGCCAAGGATAAAAAATTGCCTGGTCCCTGCAATCACTGTCACACCAGCACTGATATCAATCAACCCACTCTATTTAGTACAATGGAGGTGTTGCTGCTGGGTTGGAATCTCCATTACAAAGCCATGGCATTTCACAAAACAGAAATTCAGCAGAGAGAGAGAGAACAGTTACTACACTTTGATTCCAGCCCAAAGCAGTGCCTTCAGGTCAACTGTTTAAACTTGAAAACTGATATATCTTTGGTTTTAAGCCGAGGTCAGCCATGATTACTATGCAGTAATGTTTGTAATCTAATGTTTCATTGAATTTTATGTATTTTGGCTTTAAATTTATTAGAGTTATCACTCTTATTTGATAATGTTGTGTATGGACATCCATATTTACAAAAGTCTGCACGTTTATACACAAAAATTCAAAATTCTTTTTAAAATATTGGGGTGGGTGTGTTGATGTAAGTATTTCCATTTTTGATTAGTAAATATAGTTTTTACTAATAAAAATATCATGTAATTGGTACAAATTAATAGAGAGATGTAAAATTTTTATAAATTATTCTAATTAAAATTTTTTTTTTTAAAAATGGAAACAATTCTTGTAAAAATTCATTATTCATCAAAAAAATTTTTTAAGACTATAGTGTCCGTAACATATTCATAAAAGCAATTAAAAGCTTTTATGTATAACTGATTAAAAGTTTTCATTCTCAAAATTTCATAAAATTAAATAACTTGGGTGGGTGTAACAGATGTTAAAAAAAATGTTTTTACCATGGAAAAAAAAAGAAAAAAGAAAAAAAGTTTCATTACAATCTGAAAATTATTTGATTTTAGCAATAATTTCCAAATCAAATTTCTTTTTCACTGCAAAAAATGATGCTAAAGTTTCCTATCTCCTCCACTAACAAAAAAAAAAAAAAAATTTAACCAACATTTCAAATTTTCTAAAGAGTCAAAGATTATAATTTGAAAAAAAAAAAAAACTTGAGACATTTTTTTCATTATGGTATGCTCAATCAGTGGAGGTATCTATATATATATGTGTGCGCGCGTAGATATGTTAAAAATATAGTCTTAAGCTATGCTATATTTATGTGTAAAAGTGCTCAATATCAGTCATGAAGTATATGTAAATATAAACACAAAATGGACACTGGAGGTCCACACCAAGCAGCAACAGCCGGTTTCAAGCTTGAATTGTACACAATTTTTATGCCTCCAACTACAGACATTTTGTACATCATTTTATATTTTCAGGATGTATTATAAATATATACTTGTAGATGATCTATTGTAGATGTTATATGTTTTGGTATAAACCTATTTCTTCACAGTAGGACATTATATTGAAGGTTTCAGTATCTTCAAATAGTTTTCCTTGTAGTATTTATGTCTTACAGAAACTAAGTGAGTACATCCAATTAAAATGTCTTTCACCATGAATGTGGCTTGGCATGTTTTATATGATGGCTGATCTTTATTCTTCAGCAAGTGTATAACTTTTCAGCTTTCTACAGATACCTACATATATATATAGCACAATACTTTATATATATATATATATATATATATATATATATATATATATATATATATATACACACACACACAAACAAACACTCTCCAGCCCCTCAGTGATTCTCTGCTTAAATTCCTCTAGGCTTGTAGGAAGAGGCAGGCAATATAGACCTGTCCTTTCACATAGCCCCATAGAAAAAAAAACACAAGGTGTTACACAGGTAAATATTGTGGCCATTTCAACAGCACATTGTCATTATCAATGGCATGCCTGATCCATCTTCCTGGTTTGTTTCGGTTTGTTTTACAGCATATTAATCTCAATGGGTTATTTAATGCTGACAAAATTTTCATTGTTGGTAATATTTTTTTTTTTTAACAAAAATCTATTTGTGGTAATATTTTTTCTTCAAAATATCTATTTGTGCAAATATTTTTTTTTCCAAATATGTACAGCTGGTAATATTTGTTTGTCCAAAATTTATAGCTGGTAATGTTTGTTTGTCCAAAATTTATAGCTGGTAATTTTTTTTTTTTTTTTAAATGTATTGCTGGTAATAATTTTTTACAAAAATGCATTGCTGGTATTAAAACCTATTTTTACACTTTCATAGTGTTTTGACCCCAATTTGGGGGTTAGCTATTTGGCCATAGATGGGACCCAAACAGTTGCTACCACCCTGGGTCAGCGTGGACCTAGGAATACCAGCAATTAAGAAGTGGTTCCACGCTCTTCAAAACCTCCTGTTCAGAGGCGTTGCTGTTGGATGCAGTTTATTGTCTTACCCAGGACGCGGATGTAGTTTATCATCATACCCAGGATGGCCATCTTCCTGGTAGATTCTCATTGAGAGAAGTCTGCACCGAGGCACTGGACAATGTTACACAAGGCATGCTACAGCATGTTTGGCAGGAGCTGGATGACTGATTTGACGTGTGTTGTGTCACAGGTAGTGTGCATATTAGGCATTTGTGAAGCTCTGCGGAATCGATTATCAAATCTACATGCCTTTTTGAATATCTTGTCTGATTTTGATAAATAAATAAATCTTTTAGTGTTTATTTGCCTAGGGATGTAGTTGGTCAGATATTAATATTTTAAATGTCGTCAATTTGGGGGTGGGTACCCTGGATATATTGAAAATTTTTGATGAAGCTGCAATAAAATTCAGCAAAACATGTTAAATTCATAAACCTTTTCTCAGTAGTCCCTTCTTTAATCATTTCATTTCTTCTAATCTATGGCCAAAACCAAACTAGTTCTGTTCCACCACCCCCGACACATACACACCACCACCACCAAGCAGGGTCTGAACTTGCACTGAGAGGCTCCTTGCCTTGAATGTCTATCTGGATTCAAGCTCACCCTATCCAGAACCTAACAGCTCATCTCTCTTCTGACCTAGCCCCAGCAGACCAATGGAAGAAGAACTGGCTTGTAAAATTCAATATGGCCGAAAACAAAATTATAACATTCCATCATCACTGAACAGACCCTGAACTTTCACTTATCAAGATAGATGGGTCTTCTCCCAAAGAAGCTCCTTGTCTTGAATGTCTACTGGGACTCAAGCTCACCCCAGACCTCAAGTGGAACTTACATATATCCAATCTATTGCTAAAGATGTTGGAAAAATGGTTGGTTTACTTACTGTACCGTTCCAGTAAGTATCTGATTTCTACCTCCTATATTTTAACTTTACAAGGACAGGGTCAGGCCAAAAATGGAGCCATATCTGGGGCTGGAGCAGCCCAGTCCTCACTTACTTGTTTTGATAGACTTCAAAATTGTCTTGTATGTGGCCATGCGGGTGATAAATTATTTCCCACCCTACAGCTTCTTACCTACAAACAAAACATCGCAAGCCTCTCACTACTGTATCACTATTTCCATGGCACGTGTTCTGACAAGTCACATTCCTTTATTCCACCAGTCATAAACATTGGGACCCACCATGCCACGTACACAAGAATGAATTATCTTCATTCCCTTCATATTCCATTAATAAGTAAGTAGTTCTATTCGAACTTCTTCCCAAAGACTGCTGCTTTGTGGAACATTGACCTCTTCAAGTCTAAGCTTAACTGTTGTCTTTTCTAGATGACTTCATGAACTGCATTTCTTGCTTTTTCTTATGTTCATACAAGACCACACAGTAACCCTCTAGCATGAATGGCTCTTGGGTCTTGTAATGGGTAAACATTAGTATATAAAAAAAAAGCTAAACTACAACAGCAGAAATTCTATCATCTTCAGTGAATGGGTTAATGCTAAGAATAATAGCTTGTTTTTGTTTTTTTTAAATCAGTATCAATAAAGCCACTAAGAAACTTGAAGTGGGACTCCCATATATCCAATCTATTGCTAAAGATGCTGGAAAAATGGCCGGTTTACTGTACCGCTCTAGTAAGTAACTGACTCCACCCTGTTATATTCTATACTGACAAGAGCCAGACCAGACCAAAAATGGAGTATTGCTTCTATATCTGGAGCTGCCAAGTCTTCACTTGCCTGCCCTTATAAAGTTCAAAAACCTCTATATGGCATTGTAGGTGATGAATTATTTTCTACCCTAACCCCCCCCCCCAAGACAAAACATTGTGACCCTCTCAATGCCCTATTGATATTTCCAAGCTAAGTATTCTGAGGAGTTATATTCCTTAGTCTGACCAGCCCTGATCTTTACAACTGGAACTCATCATGCCATGTACATAAATATGAATCATCCTCATTCCCTTCATATTCCATTAGTAAGGAGGAAGTTTCATTCAGGCAGAACTGCTGCATTATGAAAGACTGCCGGCAGGATGTTTTCCTAATCACAACACTCTTGACTTCTTCAAGTCTAAGGTTAGCCGTTATCTTTGCTGCATATGAACTTTACTTCTTACCTATTCTTATGCTGATATAATATCACACAGTAACACTCTACCTTGAGTGACTCTTGCGCCTTGTATAAGGTGAGCATTATTATGTGTGCATGTGTGCGCATATATAGAATCTCTTACCTCTTCCACACCCACTTTTCTTCCCTTGGGTTTCTGTGTTATTTTTGTGACGTATGGTGGGCATTAATAATTAAATATAACTCAAGATTTCAATGTTAAGATAAAACGGTATTTAATTACAACCGCAAATAAATACTTAACAAGAACAAAGAAGTAAAAGTCAACCAAAGATAATTAACAATTTCAGTGAATAACTGTCTATATTTCTGAGATAAGGTATTATGTACACTATTTACATTATTCGGTCTATTGTCCTCATCTTTGTCACCATATTTATTACAATGTTTCGGCCTTTCACTTACTGTCTATATTTCTGAGATGACGTATTATGTACACTATTTACATTATTCAGACTATTGTCCTCATCTTTGTCACCATATTTATTACAACGTTTCATGGCACAGTGGATAAAGGCGTTGGTTAGATCCAGTGACAGGACCCAAAGAGTGTATAAATACCTGGTTAAGGTGGTGGAGAACTTGGGAATTAACAGGAGATAACTGACATCCATTAGACATGGCACATGGAACTAGAACAGTCTATCCCAGTGAGCAAAATAAAGCGTTCAGTTCAACATTCCAACCACCTCAAGAAGGTCAGAGCCAAAACGTAATAAATATGGCGACAAAGATGAGGACAATAGTCCAAATTATGTAAATAGTGTTCAGTGAATAACTTGTTAGTAGCGCGGCTAGGCTTAACGTCCAATAAATCCTAAATCAAAACCCAAATCATTGATGCACAATAATTCACGCTAATTCAACTGGATAGTTCCACTTAATAGTCACTACAGTCAGTAGCCTGAAACCGCTATTTATACACCTGGCGAAAAACATATTCATAAGTCCAGTGTGTCACACTCAAACGTCGGTGTCGGTAGTTGCTCATTTTCTTCCTATATGACAATTATAAAGCATAATTGATAACAGTTCACAAGGGATTAGACAGGTACTACACCTTGATCCTAAGTAGTAGAGTCTAATAGTCATAGGTACAAAAAAATATTAACTTTAGTTTACATGCATTATTCTTTCTCTGCCACCACAAGTTTAATTTGAAGATTTGGTTCAGAAAGAGTTTAAGTTTTATCTAAAGAAAAAAAAAAAAAAAAAAATTCAGTTTAGCTCACCTTTGATAAACTTGCTGTAAATAAAACACACTCGTATAATTCCCCCATTCTCTGGAGAAACTCATCAACATAAGGCCGCTTTAACACATACACCTGAAACAAAAAGCAACTGTTTAAACAAGAGGAATGGAGAAGACGGAGGAGTTTTTCTTTGCCAAGCCATTCATCAAACTAATGACGAGTGGGTAAACAAAAAAAAAAAAAAAAAAAAAAAGGGAGCAATAACTAAATGGATGGTGTATCTGACAGGGAAAACTGAGTTTATGGTTCAATTCCAAAATAAGAATGTCTTATCTTTTGTCAGTGGGAATAAAATTAGAAAGACATTTGTTTTTGTAGAATTGAAAGCTCATAAATCTGGGTAAAGATTGGTGTTTCCATTTGAAAGACACTAAGAGATATTCTGCTATTGCTTTCTGGATTTCTCTTTTCTCCTTGTGTCAAAATCTTAAAGAATTGAGAATTTATATAAGGGGAAAAGGAAATGAAAAAGGAAAGGAAAAAGAAGGAAAAGGAAAAAAAGGAAAAGAAAAAAGAAAGAAAGGAAAAGAAAAAAGAAAGAAAGGAAAAGAAAAAAGAAAGAAAGGAAAATCAACTCCTGTTTTTTTGAGGACATTATTAGGCTGATTGGAGAAGACAAGTTGAACCAATGTGCGTGTTTTATTTTAGAAAAGAGAACATTGCAGATGACAGGCAAAAATCTTGCTTAAAGAAAAATAAACAACATTGAAATGAAAGCTTTACATTGTTTATAAAGAATGAGTTAAGATTTATTTGTGTTTGTCTTTCACTTACCTGATGTGTTGTCCCATCAATTTCCACAGGAACAATAAAATCTGCATTGTCTATGGGCTGCAAAGAGACAAAGAAACAAAATCAATATAGAAAAGTTACTTATACAATTTAGGTTGAAGAGATTATACAAGTACATAGTAATTCAGCTTTTAAACAACATCTTGTCCAAATTAATCAAATTGTATAATGAAATAAAAAAAAAAAAACACTTCAAAGACAATCAATCCGATAGAAGAAGGGGATTTTCCTAGAGGAACTTGAGGTTTTGAATGTTCCCAATCCATTATCATAAAAATCAGACACTAATTTTTTTTTTTAACTGAAAAACAAATTTATTTACTCTTTTCCTGTGTATTTTATGCCCTAAACAATCTTTGCCAACAAATAGGTTATACACACAACACTTTTACATAGACTAACATGATCTATCAGACAATAAGGTCATAAAAGTTTATATTAAACAAAAAGTGAACAAAAGGCACTGCAAAATATATATATATATATATATATATATATATATATATAAACTTTATATATATATAAGTTTATATATATATATATATATATATATATGTATGTATATATATATATATATATATATATATATATATACATACAAACTTTTATATATATATACACACACAAATACAAACTTATTATATATACACACACAAACTTTTTTATATATATATATATATATAAGCAAATATATGGATATAGATCCGACAGTATGAAGAAAAATATATACAGAAAAAACAATCAAAAATCCTTATATACAATTTATACTGTTTTAATGTTAATATGTCAACTTCGGACGTTTCGGTCTAATAAACCATCTTCAGGACATATTCATAAATATAACATTATCAATACAACATGACAAAGACGATGTACATAAGAACAAGACTTATCCAAACAAATAACTGAAAGTTTTATAAGATCAGATCTTATAAAACAGTATAAATTGTATATAAGGATTTTTGTTTGTTTTTTCCGTATATATTTTTTCTTATATATATATATATATATATATATATATATATATATACACACACACACACACACACACACACAAACTGGGGAAAAAATGTGAATAAAAAAACAAAAACATTAAATATATTAATTCGTATATTAAATATCTCCAAAAAACACATTAACTGAATCCAGATCATATCAAACAACTTTCGATCAATGAAAAATTACAAATTCACAATTTATCACCCAATGCTTTAATGCTGAAAATATATAAAATTCTTGTGTTTTAAAACTAACATTCTGAGGCAGAGAGGGAAGGAGACAGAGGGGATTGCAACACCGGGAAGGAAGGAGATAGTGGAGACTGCAACTCCAAGAGTGGTGGAGACAGAAGCCCATAATATGGAGAGGGAATAGAGGAAGAATTAAAAAAGACAAATGAAAAATTAGAAATAATGTAAATGAAAAAGAAATTCTCATTTTGCTTTTACAAAATCCTCTGGAAAACTGTTAAAAGAAAATCAAGTCCAACCTTTCCAAAAGAGACAACAAATTTGTACATCAACTACAGAAATATTTAAAAAATCAAATCTTTATTCAATAAACTGTTTCGCCATTTCTATTTCTCTTAAAAGGGAAGGTTTTGCGTTTGTAGACTTTTCAAGTTCTACTTGGCCAATAAATAAAATCACCTGCTCATACACCATCACTTCTCAAGTACTGAAAGCCTTCAGAAGATTTTATAATTTAATAATACTGTATTCCTGGCTTTGAACTGTATAAAGAACATCAGCCACAAAGGCAAATATTTCTTGCCTTAACAGAGAATTTTTAATTTGAAAGCAGAATTTCTCACTCACAAAAGTTTTTGTTCATATTAAAGAAAACACTTGTGCTTTGCAAGTACAATATTATGAAATGTTCAAATTTGGATAAAGAGCTTCAAATCCAGGCATGGGAAGTTTTAATATATCCAATGGACATATTCCTATCAACTCAACAAATTATAGCTGGAGATTAAAAATATTTTCCCTCAATTATATTGGTTAACATGTGTTGCTTCATTTAAATTTCAACCAATACTTTTTAAGACAGTTTAAAAAGGAAAAAAAATGTTTATTTAAATTGACCATAAAAAAATTAAAATATATAAAAAGAAAAAAAAAAAAACCCTTCCACTAGAGTCACAACACTAAATTGAAAATATTGAATGCAGCCTTGGAGCAATCATTTGTTCAAATCCCATGCCAAGTTCATTAAGCCCCTTAAATATGATCTTGATCTTAGATAGTCAAAGACAAAAAAAAAAAAAAAAAATGACAGACAATTTGGGATCTCATCTAGATTCTAATGATCTAATTTTTATACGATTGTGTTTGCTAGTAACACAACAAAAATAGCAAACTGCTCTGTATTAATGTAAACATTCAAGGGAGATAACTTCTGGTCTATTAACTGCTAATTATAGTTTTAAGGTATGTTACATTTATTGGTAAAAGTGCTCAATATCAGAGTGTATGTAAATATATAAGTAGACACTGAGATTAATACCAAGTGGCACAGTGTCCAGTTTTATATGTAATATGTAACAAATTCAAATAAAAAATAGATCTGTAAAAGAACAAGATGAATAAAAGATAAGTTTGCCTTTTACCATATATATATATATATATATATATATATAAAATAATATATATATATATATATATATATATATATATATATATAAAAAATTAACATTAAGTGATATATTATATATATATATATATATATATATATATATATAAAATTAAAATTAACATGATATATTATATATTGTCACGTAGCAAATTTTTCATTAACCATATAGGCGTTAGGCTAAAGTAAAATCTTGAATAAAGAGAAAACTAGTTAGATATAAAAGAAAGATAAATAAATAAATAAAAAACAGAAATTTAATCCAATGCTTCCACTTCATGAGCGAATATATTCTATGATCAGCCATATCCTTCCTTTCTTTTCCCAAATTCTTTCTTTTTTTTTTTCTCTCTCCCACCCACGAGCCAAGGGCCCGTGAACTTCAAAAAAGTGATTGACGCGAGGATGACCTGGTTCCAAGATTTCGCGTTTGACCATGAGTGAATTCCAGGCACCATCAGGGTCTCCTGCTGCGATTCACGGATCGGGACGACGGAGCATGTGTTGAACTTTGGCCATCACACAAGCACTCGTGATTTGGCGCCCTATCCTCCCTGCGTACCCGGGTCAAGGACGAAGGGAACCACGTGACTGTCGTTGGGGACAGCGAAAACCAAAAAAGGATTCTTCAGTTCCCTCTGACCAGCGGTAGTTGAACATCGCTGGGCAAAAATCGTCAGACTGCACACTGAGATGAGGAAGACAGCAAAAAGTCTGTCGACTGGGGAGTGAAAGGGCTGCTATGGACTGAGAAACCAACCAAATGCCTGTATGAAATGCTGGGGACCCATTTAACACTCGCGAAAAAGAAGAAGAATCCAGGAACATTGTCGGCCGCCAAGATATTGTCTTATCATCAGAACTCTCACCCGGCGAATCAAAACTTTATGTGCGAGATACCAACCCGACTGCAAGATAAGTTGGTTCTTTTGGCTTGATCTGTTTTCATATATGTATGTATTCGCTCGCACCTTCTATTCTTTAATGATGTCCTCCCCTTTGTTAAATGAATGTTCTTTTTTTTTTTTTTCTTTATTTAGTTATATATATTTATAAATAAATGTTTTTGTTTTGAAATCCATCGTCTTGTGTCTGTTCTTCGTTGATTCCCTTGTGTCGCTTCCATTTCTGAGTGAAGACCGAGAAAAAGAAACCACGTTTTTTTTTTTAGAACCCGTGGTTCATCTATATACTACAAGTTAATAACAATATATATATAAATAAAATTAACATTTATATATATATATATAAATAAAATTAACATTTAAGTGATATATATATATATATATAAAAAATTAACATTTAAGTGATATATATATATAAATATATATATATATATATATATATATATATATATATATATATAAAATTAACATTTAAGTGATATATATATATATATATATATATATAAAAAAATTAACATTTAAGTGATATATATATCACTTAAATGTTAATTTTAGTGGATATTCATATTAGAGTAGACATTCAGTTTATTTATTAAATAGTATATTTATTTTTGTCTACTGGCCTGAATATCAGAAAGATCTTATTTCAAAATAAATCCACCCTCCAGCAAGTGAATAATAATAATAATAATAATAATAATAATAATAAATAAAAAATCCATTACTTCTTTACTTTTCAGAGTGCGATGGATAATTGTCGTCTAAATTATGCCAAAATGAAAATAACACTGACATCTCATTTTAACAGATATATTTACCAAAATTAGAAAAAAAATATCTTGAAATACTAAAGAGTAAGTTTACTGAATAAAATCACCATTGGCTTCAATCACAGCCTCCAGACAACTTTGGAATCTCATGCAACTCTTCTGGATGGTCTCCCTGTTTAAGTTCATGAATGCTCTCATAATTCTTGCCTTCAGTTCATTTTTCATGTTACAAGGAGTTTTGCTGGTCTCTCACTTAAATGCTCCCTACAAATAATAATCAAAGGGATTGCAGCCTGGAGATCGCAGAAATTATCTGACAGCCAATACTGGGTTCTACTGCTCGGGTGGCATGGTGCAGAGTCCTGTTGCCAGACATCAGGTCTTCCAGCAGTCACTCTCTTGACCCAGGGCAGCACTACCTCCTTAAGGCACTTGATGTAAGCCTCTGTGTTGAGTGAGGCCTTCACCAACAAATTCAGGGGTTCTTTTCTTATCAGAACAATCAGAGTGTGTTTTCCAAGATGCTGTATCTTCGTAATCACCATTAGACTCATCCAACTCTTTCCAAATCCTCTGTATTATCCTCAGATTGACATCCAAACACTGACTTAATCCCAAGCAGTACTGCATGCCGTTTCCAAATTTCTGGTGGAGTGTATTGTGTTATGGCACTCTTTTTCTTACAGAAGGTGCCCAACTGACCCTACTATACTATACTATACTTTTTTTAGTATAGTGGGGTCATTATATATATATATATATATATATATATATATATATCCTAAAAAGCCAGGAACTACCTACCTAGGTTTCACCAAAATGGATCTTTAGAGTAAACTGGCTAAAGAGGAAATGACAAGGAACATATTGATAAAATCAACACTAAAAACTAAAATTAGCATAAAACCATGTGATAAAAGAAAGAAAGAAAGAAAGACTAAAAAAAGAAAAGAAAAAAACAGAACCTTTATTCCAATAACCAGATTTTCTTATGTTTGCACCTATTTAAGATTTCAATTAAGCTAATTCTAAAATGAAAGAAACTGATCTGGACTATAAGATGGAGGGTTCCATGGAACCAGATGTAGGAACCGTTTCTAAAATTAGATTCTACAATACATGATGTCAGTGATGCTGGTGCCAGTAAAGTCTTGCAACTTATAATAATGATTCAAAAAAGAAAATAATAACAACCCAGAGTTTCCCATGTCTTGCCAAACATTTCACACAACTCTGGAAACCCTTCCATCAATCAAGCTTTCCATTATTTTTTTATTTTTTTTATTTTTTTTGCGATAGTCATTTTAGACCATTACCTAAGATTTTGTTGGGGGTCATATGTATTGTGATGGGTCATGAGAAAACGTTATAAAAAAAATGCAAATATTTATAAAGATTAAAAAAATATTGTTGTTAAGTGTAAACTGATTGGCAAAAATAAATTCCTGGAATATAATGCAGCCCATTTAATCATGAGATGTACTATACGTTAGGTTGTGGGATGAACATCCCTTGAATAGCGTAAATTTTGTAAGGTTATTTTTTATGTTTATTCTGTTAAAAATCCAACAAGAAACTTGGAACTAAAAACATTTACAAATGTGTAAAAATTATACAATATAAAAAAATCTCAAATCATACAATTTTCACAAAACTCTTGCCAAAAAAAAAAGTAGAGAAAATAATGAGTTATCTCCCTTTCATAGTGAAGTAATATTTTTTTAACTTCACATTTGACCAGATAATCATGTCAAAGGACAGGAATGCATAGCAGTGTGATAATGATCATTAAGAAAATTTAATATTATTTAATGAATTATATCCTCACTGAGTACTCTAAGTTAATGACCTTGCGCCAGACTAAGCAAATAAAATCGATTTGTGCCACGAAAATGGCAATGTTCATACAGAGCTTCTCGATAAGTGCCAGAGCCAATGAAATTGAATAAACTGAATCCAGTACATGTGTTTTGTATTAATGTATTACTTGTTCTTCTCTTGGTTTCCCCATTACTTTTTGATAGAGGTAACAAGACTTTTGGACCAC